TTAAAAAAAGTTTATGATGAATAAGAAATGATCTTTTTCTTTCGAATTTCCGATTCTCGAAATTATAATTTGAAGAACAAAAATCTAACGATCATTAAATTTGCTTTCCTGGTATATTTTACTTCATTTTTGAAAACTTTAAATTTATTTTCAATTTTTTTCCATGTACTACCACAGTTTTTCGAAAAGTTTATCTCGAAAATAAACTCATGCTTGAATATATTACGAATTTACCTTATTAATAACTTTGCCAAGCGATGCTAAAATTGATAAAAAAATCCCCACGCCCGAATGTGTTTCTCATAAGGAAAACCAATTCACAGTAATTTCATATTGAGTCTGTTTCAAAATAGATATATGCGATGATCCAATCCAATTTAAACGTCCGCAAACGATTCTAATTAACTCGGATATAATTAATAAGGAATTCAGCCTTTAATTCTTTACAAGGTCAATTTTATTTCGTACCTTTCATAACGTTTTCGCATTAGAATCGAAACAAAGACGGAAAAATCTATTAATGATCGGTAATTACAGTAGAAACCAGGAGATACGATTTTAAGAACCCGACGTTTATAACAATTAAGTTACCTGTAGAAAATGAAAGTGTAATTATTCACATTCAAGACACAAAAAATACTCATACGGTTTGAAAATGGCTTGAATCGTTTCCTTTTGAAAAATCTTACATAATCTAAAAATACACACCCACTTTTACAGTATTGTCCCACGACAAGAACAAAATGTCATTTTGAAAATATGTTGGAAAAACATCTACCGTATTAATTGTTTTAAGCTTATTTTAAAAAATATTTTCAACTTTTTATTTCGATGTTCTTTAAAAGCGTGTTATTTAATAATTAATGTAATGAGGTCAACATTTCGAGAAGTAAACATAAACACATGGAAAAAGCGCGATGCGAAATTCGAAAAATGCAAGGTTTCCGTGAAAACAAAATACCAACAGACTTTTATCGTGGTCTGATGGATACGTTCAAAATACTTGGGAGCGATTATAATGGGTACCGAAACCATAGGCGTACTATTGTTATCCAAACGGAAAAAGTAAGCTTACCGATTGACACTAAGACTGAGATTAACACTATAATTACGTTAAACATGAACAATGACAGTAAAATTATAGTAACAATTTCATAAATTCATTTAGTCCAGTCAAAATAGGGAAACTAATAAAATGCAATTGCCTTATGAACGAGACGTTATTGTTGTTTTTATTTACCCTTTTTCTCCACATAATGTCTTGCGTTTTTTTGTTTATATACAGGGTCTTCCAAGAGGGACTACCGAACTTTGAGAATTGACAAACCACCATGGACGGAGAGACCTTATACATCTTTAACTTCATCTAGAATATCTAATATTTACTCAACCTATGTTTTATAGGGGTTGCGATATATAAAAAGTATATAAGTGTTAACTCGGTAATAAATAAATGAATGAAATGTTTGTAACAAACATAGTGAATTATATAAATGATTGCAAGAAAATTAAAGCTCATCAAATGTAAGAAGAATTTCGAATTGGTCCTGACCACTAGATAAACGTTAGAAGACGAAAAGACCGTCCAGTTGCAATAATGTGCAGTAAAGTGTACACTGTGAGAATTCTCAAGTAATTCTAGTCTGAAAATACGTTATCCTAAATGACCATGAATAATTACTGTATGAAATATCATCTTTAAAACAATGAATTTGTTCTATAATTTTTTAAACATCGTTGGCCGTAGTTTCGTCTTTAATTTTGGTTAAGTACCCAGCACATTACTCTGGTTGTCCTTACAGCGCCGCGGTTTCATTCCATTGGTTGGGCTAATTAACTATATTCATGTATTGGAGCTCAGAGAGACTTTTGCAACATTGGGAAATACTGGATCTCTTGTAGCAGTGTTACGGTCTATATTGGAACCACGAAATTAGATATTAGAATCCGATTCTCTGAACGCAAAAGAAATTATTGCCGCAAGATCACTGACAAATCAGAATCCACTCACGTTTTAAAGAAGAGACCTAAAGGCTCTACAGAAGTCAGAGCCATTATTCAGAATGCAACAGAAGTTCGAACACGCAGAGACAATTTTCCTCGAAAGGAAGAGGGAATTAACATGAATGAAGTCTGGCTACCCGTACTGAACAATACACGAATCATTCCTACCAATAGGAACGTAGCCACGCCCACCACCAATGTAATGAAGCAGGAGGCCAGAACTCCGAACAAATTCATATAAGCAATGAGGCAACTATGTTGCCTTTTTGCCATTAATAATGTATACCGCGGTTGTAGACAAAATCCGGAAAATAGTTTTGGCACAGTTATCTTAGGCCGTGACAGTTTACATACTTTTAACTAATGACTTATGGATTTAATTGAATAGAACTGGCCGATACCTGATGAAAATCTATATTGAAAGTAATTGATGCAGTTTATTGTATGATTTTCACCTTAAAGGGTTTTACAAAAAACCGTGCTATAAAATAGCTTCCTTAAGCTTCCTATCCTCCTCAAGTTTACGTATGAGCAAAACAAAACACGTGTCGCGATTATTGTAAAACCCTTTGAAGTGAAAATCATACTACAAGTTTGTTGTATGATTGATACAGTTGTATTGACTAGTTTTTTTTACTTATGGATTTGTTTTGATGAGTTTTACGATTTGAATAATTATACAAAAATTGTTTATTCGTCTCATTACCTGAATATTAATGTTTTGTGGTTTGAAAAAGAACTGTAGATACATTATTCACAAGTATTTCAGAGAAATAGCCTCGGAAAAACCTATGTATTCAAGGATGGTATGTTCTCGAAAATGGTAAGTGCTAAAAAAATAGTATTTTGAAAAATTACTAGACGATTCTTGGAATTTGTAAGTATTATCCAACAAAACCGAGTTTTACCAGTATTCAACAATATTTTCAGTTTCACTCAAAATATCTTCGCTCTATAATATATTCCTCACGGAATTTTCACACTAAAAAAATTGAACCATTTTCGAACGATCATTTTACGCCGTCCCGCGTCCATTATCTTCATTATTAAGTATTCCCATAAGAGAACAGGAATCTCAAACGAGAAATTTTCGTATTTCGAATGCTAGTCGAACACTCCAACCATTGGTAAGGTAGAGATAAAACTAATTAATTCAGTGATGTAGGCGTTTATTAAAAGTTAAAGTACCCGTATAAATAACTGAAAGTATACCTAATTAAGTATCCACATGTCCATATTCGACGTGGATCAAGTAATTAATGTATTGTCGGTTTTCCTTTTCTGATTACAGGCAGAAGTTAATTTTATTATAAACAAACGATCTGCGCGGCTCCGCACGGGTGCAATGCTGATACTAAATATACATTTAAACGCGTGCGATCGCTGCTAATCATAAAGTGCTATAGGGCGAAGCGCAGCCTTTGAAGAGCTATTTATAGGCACGTGTAAACAATTTCTCTGTCAAAATAGTTATGACTCAAGCAGTTTAAAATGATTAAATGTCGTAGATTCTAATTCGATTATCAAAAATGAAGGCCCAATAAGTTACATTAAGAAACCACAAAAATATGTTATGACATTCATGTTCTTGATATCCTGATCGTGATGTTCTAAGTTTTGAAATGTACTTTTCTGTTTCTTAATGCGTTTTTCTTCTCATCTTTCCATGGCACCCATTTCAACAATTTTAGTTAATATATTGGTATGTACAATCCTAATAATTCTATGTTTAGGTGTCCTCTATAAGCGGAATGAATCCATAAAACACCAGACCAGACGGCCCCGTCATGGACGTTTTCCCGTGTTTTTTCCAGGTATGTTATAGTCGGATACCAAGTCGAATATTAACGAATTTTGATATTTTTTATTTTTATTGTGGGACCATTCAGATATTTCTTTGCACGTTTCTTTGGCAATCTTGAAGACCATCAACACGCTTAAGCTTAAAACGACTTAATTTGATCCTAGGTCTTAGCTTGATAAGGTCTTATAACAGAAGAGATGGAAAGAAATGGTCTTCATATTCAATATATTGCTTTTGATCAAGTATGTAAGTATGTGGTACCCCACATATGTTTTTACTCGAATTTCCTACTGACTTTTAAATAACGGTATCAAAATTTTCATCAAAATAAAGACAAATTCCTAATTTGACGTTTCGTATTGTATGAAAGTTTGGACCCATATATTTTAAAATAATTTTTGGGATGAAATAAACGTATAGCAAAATAGAGTGCAATTTGCAGGAACTGCTTTCTCAGAACTTATTGATCTAATATCAAGCAAGGAATAATTGAAAGGTTTTTAGAGAATATGACCTTCGTAAATCCTACTCAAGCAGCTTCCGGTTTTCAATTATGCATTTACCTGTAAAGGTTCTTAGAACTGTCTCCACTGATACTTGATCAAGTACTTTATGTAGGAGCCTATCTACCTGATAATATACAATAAATATTTATTTGAACACTAGACAGGTTTTTCCTGCAATATTCATACACCAGTCTCAAATCGCAAGTTGAAAATTTTGAGAAATTATAGTGTTTTTGTGTTACTACTGAAAACCCAAACAGATATTTGAGCTTCTATAAAAATGGACACTGAAAATTAGCGATACATCTGTTTGCGAATTATTGCTATGATCAATTATGAAAATAAAACAATCTGGGTATCAATTTTAATTCTAAATCACAGATGCAATAACAAAACAGAAAAGTGGAAATGAATTGCGTAGAATATTCATTAACGATATTAAAAACAACTTGACTGTGATAAATTTGTTGAATTTGATTATAAATTCAACAAGCAAGTAGTTTTTAGGGTTGTCACATAGTTTTCATTTCATTTAGGACAATTTGAATTGTTTTCTTTAACTCAAATTTGTGTCAATCAATATTCTATACATTCTGAACATTATTTATAATGTTCTATTTCATTTTCTAATGATTTAATGGTTTGACATTCAGAAAGTTGGCAGTATAATAGCTTGATTCACATACCGTTTTGTTTTTTAACTCTCCTCTTTCCAGCCTTCCTGCCGGGCGGCATCATAATTGAATATTATCCGCTAGTAAATAAATAAATATATCACAAAAATAAACTGTCACTTAAATACTACGATATCACAGATTTTCGAAATTTGTACACATTATTGTCCTTCGGATCGATAACTTTAAGCATGTGCGCGCCACTTTTTCAAAACAAAATACTATCATCCAAAACCGACTTCGAGTAGGCGTATTGGATAAGCGTCGTCATCATTCATTTGTTTATGTAGCGAACGGGCCGCGAGAGAGTACAACCAACGTGCGCTCTACGTGCTTTCTCAACGTACGACTGCCTTCCCGTAAGCAGATTACAGGTTGTTATAGCAGCGGCTGTGAAAAAACGAGCGAGCAGCAGCAACGTTTGAGTCAGTCGGACACGTTAGCGGGGTGGGGACCGACGATCTTTTATTGTTACGGCACGCCGGGATGCTGGATGGACGATCGAGCGAGTTTCGGTGTACGAGGAAGTGTGAAAATGTTTAGGACGAGGTGGCGGAGGTGTCGGACCTCCAGATGGAGGCGTTTCGGCAGTGGGATGATATGCAGAAGTGGGTTCCTTCGGATTTCTTCAAATCAGGATCGGCATTTTTAATATAACTTATCTCACTAGGATTTCAACTGTTTTTTTTGTGAATGAAATCTGGACTGTTGCAGATTTATGATGAAAATACTTTTTTCTCCCAGTTTGTGTCTGAAAGTTGCTTTTTTGCAGGATCTGAATATCTTTGTATAGAGTTAATTTTTTGAAATCGATTTCTTCTTTCTTTTGGAGGATTCCCACATTTTTTGTATCAAGATGGAGAAGTAGAAGGCCAAAAACTTTCTTGTTCTTGAAGTCTTGAATTTATAAAATTATTTGCTGAAATTCTGATAAATCTATTACAAATCTATTGCAAAATCACATTCAACTTCGTAGAGCAGAAAAGTCTAATTTTTCGTTGAAACCGGTCTCTTTATTTGTAGAAGTTTTGAATTTTTTTAAAAAATATGAGAATTTGTAATTCGTAATTAATCATCAAGTTGACTCTATTATAAGCAAATTCAATCTAAAATGTAAATGTTCAAATTTTTCGTGCTACGTACATTTAATTAGCAATTTAAAAAAAAAATTCAAGTTGGTACTCTCGTCTCACGGTTTCAGTTGTTTAGTATGTTTAGTTTGTTCTTCAGAACTGGATGAAGAAACTAGGATTTAGATTTAAAATAATGAACAAACGTCAATCAGTTATGGAAAACAGAAGAATAGTGGAATTGCGTAACAAATACTTAGAACAAATAACTAAATATAAACAAGAACAACGGCAAATTTCTATTTGGACGAATGACACTAACGACACAGTTACGAAAGGGTGGACTGATGGTTCGAGAATGTGTACGCCTAACATGCCTGCAAACAAAGGATCGTGACTAATCATTGTGGAGGAAGTAAAGGATAAGTTCCGAATTCTTTGAAATTATGTGGAAAAAAACTTGGGAACTGCAATGTTGATTGACTATCATAAGAATATGGAAGCTAATATTTTCGAGGAACGGTTTGAAAACACATTGATCCCAAATTTGGATACGAATAGTGTAATAGTTCTTGACAACGCTTCCTATCATTCACGACAGCTCATCAAAGTACCGAATAAAAATTTGGGGAAAGATGAAATACAAACTTTTATAATGGATACCAATTTGTATTTTGAAGATTACTATACTAAAAACCAACTACTTGAAGTTTTACAGACAAAAACATTTGAAAAAGATAAATAGGGCATCAATCGAACACGTCAATTCCTAACTCTTAATGATTTCGGGTAGAAATTCGGGAGGAAATTTTATTGAGAATGTTCCTGCTAATTTTTAACAGAGTGATATATGAAAAGGTAACCGAAAGACTGTTTGGAATGGAACCTTTACCACTGTTCATAGTCCTCATGCCACACTTTGCTATTTCCAGACTTTCAAAAGCATCGAAAAATCTAGTGTCATGTACTGATTTCAGGCAATTTTCATTTATTCTATGGCCGTTCTTCAAGGCGTGTTGACATTAGATTTTTTTGATCTCAGAAATCGGATATGTGCCGCGTGATCTTTGATACGAGTTTTGCTGGCTCGCTTAGTCTGGCCGATATATTTTTTGTTTCAGTCCTCAAAGCTTATTTCATATACCTCCAACTTTTGATTTTCCAACATTTTGTCTTCAGGGTTAGGTACTAGTATTTGTTGAAGTGAGCAAGAAGTTTTGAAGGCTTCTTTCACGTCCAACTTTTTGAAAATACGATCTACTTAGTTGGTGTCTCTTGGTTCATATGGAAGGGCAATACACCTTGAATCAAAAGGCACAGATGAATGAAAAGTTGGATATATATGAAATATGTATGTTAGCTATAAATAGCCACTAGTTTTAGAGTGAGGAATTAGATTTCTTCATCTGCTGAAAACGCCAACTTGGTTAATAAAACGCTCGTCTGGAAGATTGTTGCGGTTCTGGTGTTTGTTTCGGAAATTCCAGTTTTACTTTTCAATATGAAAGATGACTAAATAAAATCGTTGCTACCTAAAACAGGGCAAAAAGACGACAGTAGTGTTCTCGCTTATGCGTAAATTCTACAGCAACAGCGAGATAGATAGATAACCTTCCACTAACATCAGTATCCTCGCGCCATTAAGACCTGACTTAATGAATTCTCGTCGTCGGAGCCCGTGGAGAGAAGAGCACTATCTCGCCCGCCGTGTTTCCGAATTAAATGCTTCGATGTCGAACAAGACGATTAAACCTGTTGGAAATACCACCAGATTCGTTTCGTTCTGTTTGCAACCTTTTTTTTTTCGAATTAGCAATTTATAAAATATGTTCTCACCACAGGATGTCTTTGGTTATTGTTGACAATCAACACTTGATTATTCGTTTGAAATGACCAGAAACTATCTACAGTTGAGACGACGAAAGAATACACATTCGTCGTCATCGATAAAATATGCGAGAAACATATACTTGTATACAGCATCCTTCTCTTCTACAAGTGAAAAAGGAAGACAAACCAGTTAACAAGACGGTCGTTATCAATTGTTAAAGTTCGGTAGTCCCTGTTGGAAGACACTATATAATGATGGCTCGCTTAGTCTGGCCAATATATTTTTCGTCTCAGCCCTTACAGCTTATTTCATATATCTCCGACTTTTAATTTTCCAACAACTTTTTAAAAATACGACCTAATCCGTTAGTGTCTCTTGGTTCATACGGAAGGGCAATACATCTTGAATCAAAAGACACAGATGAATAAAAAGTCGGGAATATATGAAATATGTATGTTAGCTACAAATAGCCACTAGTTTTAAAGTTAAGAATTGGATTTCTTACGTTATTGTAATGATATTAATGTTTCATTTTATACTATGAATCCTATTTCCAAATTGTTAGTCAATACTAAAAATAAAGTACCAATCTCTCACAAATCAGGCGTTTACAGAATTTCGTGTTCACAGCAAAATCGTTCTGCTCAGTATGTCGGACAAAGTGGTAGGAAAATTAAAACAAGAGTTCATGAACATGTTAGATTAATTGACAATTTTAGAAACCTACACTAACACCAAAAGTTCATTCTCTAACCACATTTTTAATTACAACCATTTTCATTATTATTAATATGTCATTGTGACCATTCCTTTCATTAACAAACAACACGTGATAATTCCTTTTCTTTTCCATTATAAAATAAAAAATATTTTTTTTCCAGGTGAGTTCTTTATACTGTATTGTATCATCTGATGTTACATTATTCTTCCTTTTATTGTAGAAGTTTAAATATTACCTGATGATACGTTTTAATTGATGATTTCACCGCACTAACATCCGATGGTGACATTAAATTGTGGAGACGACTTTGAGTTTTATTCCTCGCAAACCACTGTACTCCTTTTTGAGATACAATGTACTTCTACCAGAGATTCACTATATAAAATGGCTTGCACTCAGTGTATCGACGAGAGATAGCTATACAGACGACGGTCGTCGGCAATTTCTTAGATATTCAGACCAATTGATGACGTATTACTATCAATTGACAGTTGACATCGTACACTTTTTGTTTATTAAAAAGTTTCTACGGTTGCACTTCTTTCGTACTACTCAAATAGTTGTTTTCCCAACTGATGACCTGTGTGTATTTTATACTTCACATTTCACATCATAACAATCAATTTCAACCTCAAATGGTAATGGTTCTGTTTAATGTACCGCATTCTGGAGTATTCAATTTGCCAGATATTAAAGTTGAAAAATGTAATTTTTTTAGAGAATGAATTACACTTTGTTCCGTATTAATTACTCTGTCGTAAAATCACTGCTGTACTCAACCAAGCAACGTTTCATTTTACGGCAGACAGCAAACGAATTTTCTCCAGAAAATTCAGTTTTATGTTACTATTAGGTCATTTCGAAAGTTTTGTCCGTTTAAGAGTCTACTTCAAACTATAATATCTCAGTGGATACTTATTTAATTTAATAGCATTAAGTAGTGTCACTCTTAGTACAATAACTCATAAACTTATGAGTACAATATCATGAAATTTCAACAGCTTTCTTTTGAATGTTAGTGCTAACTGAAAAAGCGGTGAATGCAATGAGACTAGCCCCATCTATGTGTTAGGCACGAGAGTTTTCAGCCCATGTAGTATCTGTTTTATAAAAGTTCCCCAT